GGATTAGGGATAATTAGGTTTATAAATATAGGGGTATTGTACACTTTTTAATCAATCAATCATATATCAATACAAAGCAAGATTATTCCAATATAATTCTTATTTTCAATACTTATTACAAGAATTTCTAAACGCTTCCGCACCAATTTCAATTTTATTTTAATAGTTTGACTAAATTTACAAGTGAACTTGCAAATAACTTTTTCCAAGTAACATGACTAAATTTACAAGTGACATGCAAATAAGTTTTTCTAAGTAACATGCTTGTTTTCGTTGGGTGCGGAAGGTGGGTGTTAATAAAATATGCAATTCATTGATGGAATTTTACAAGAGTTGCACACAATATATTTTACTCGAGTACACGGCTCGCTCTAAGTTTTTACTTTTTTTACGATCAATTTTATCGTGATATATATCACTTCAATTATAACTTGTTTATATAGGCAACCATGGACTAATATACGCACATTGGACTAATATAGAACAAGAATTAAATCAATATTTAAGACTTGTTGTTTCCAAGTGAAGCATTTTAGTTTGCGAGGCAAGACTTCATTTTCCAATAGTCAAGATCTGTATTATCCAAAGTCATCTTAATGTTGTGATCTTTAATAACCTTTAATGCTCTTTGAAGATTGAAAATTAGTCCATAACTTTTTAAAATCTTACTCCCTCCGTCCTACAAATATAGACTTGCTTCCATTTTTACACGAGTTAAGAACATTCATGTTTTTTTCTAACATACCCATGCATTGAATAATGGATGTTCATATTTGTTGATAAAAAAAATATTAAATAGGGATACCTTAAAAATTAAAAAGTTAATTATACTTTCAACAAGAAAAGTGGCCCGTAGTTTGGGACAAATGAAAAAGGAAAGCAAGTTTATCATTATGGACGGAAGGAGTACCTTTTAAGTTACTTTTTTGGTACTTAAAAATAAAATAAAAAAGATATCTATTTATAATTTCCCTATTTTATAATGGAGACTTAACTAAATACGTACTCGTTAACACTTATCAAATAGTAGTATCAATTGTAATTTTTGAACATGCAGTATATGAAGTGTATTTACATACCGTATACACGGTGTGTTGTGTAAATTTATCCCTTTTTTTACACAAAATTGACATATAAGTTATTATTATGAGATAGCAACATGTAATATTTTGACGGTATGCGAAGTGTAATTACACACTACATATGGGGCTGTTTTTGTAAATTTCTCTTGCAATGTTTAACTATCAAAAGAGATTAGATGTAAAACAAAAATATAAATAAATAAATCAGAAGAACTAACCCCAATGGACACTTATTTCCTGATTCTTGCATGGAAGAAACACGATCTAAGAGCTGGAAAACTCGCCTACTAGCTCCAGCAGCTTTCATTGCCACCGTATATAAGTTAGATAGTCCAGATACTGACGATCCAACTACAAGTTTTAAAAGTTGAGCACTTCAAAAAGATGTCCCAGAGGTTCATTGCCTGAGGATGCAGTATAAGTAGTACAATTGTAGTGCTGTGATATAAATAAGAATTTATCCAGAAGTTGTAGTGATTTGACTTTATATGGGGAAATTACCAGTTAAGCTATACAGAATGAAGGATGTGAGTGATCCCGGAGTCATGGCCCCATTGATTGTCAGGGTAGCTCCATATATTACTACTGCAATAACTGATAGCGTTGAAGCTGCATTAAGACCTCCAGAGAAACAACCAACAACTTTCTACAGGGAAAATGCACAAGATATTAGATAGTGAATCTGTAGAGTGCTTGAACGACTAGATGAGTTTGTTTCATGTAGCTAACATGAGGAGGAAATTACAGTATTAGGAAACTTACTGCTTGTTTGAGTCCAAGATTTAATGTCTCGTCAACTTTTCCAGAGTACCTTGAGACCTCATATTCTTCCTGTGCAAATGATCTCACTGTGCGTATCGCACCAAACGTTTCCTAAATAGCAGCCACATTTTTATTTAGTAAAGAAAATCGTAATGATGATTAAATTGGACTAGTCAGACATGCGATGAGATTTTAGGACCGCAAATAATGTAGGACAAAAATGGTACCTCTTTGTCTTCGTGTTGGTCACTCTTTAGCCTTTTACTACTTTAGTTTATGTCATCATATGGTTTCTAAAAGTATCGTAAATTATTATTCATTTCTACATGAATGAAGTGTTGGACCACCAGAGTCAAGTTTAATACTGGAACGAGTAGAGCTAGAGAGAATTTCTAACTAGAGTAAAGGTCCTTTCTTTCTATTGGTCACACCCAACTAGAGAAGAATCGGCGAGAAAAGGTAGCACCTAGCGCAAGCCTTTTTTTATTAGTGTAGTAAAGCCATGCTTCGGCTAAATAGCGGAGCAACAAGACTCTTGTTAAGCCCATGGATTAGGTCATTCAAATGATGGTGACTGAATGTCATAAAAAGTCTAACCAGCCCTTAATGGGCACTAATTGATTTTCAAATGAGATGATGGAAATCTGATCCTAGCAATTGATATCAAAGCTAAGATCATGGGTTCAAGTACGGACATTCTAACTGGAACCAAATTGAAACTGCGATTTCGATTCGTTCCACAAATTATATAGAACCGAATGGTTCCATTTATAAAATACCTGAAATATGTGATTTTAATTTTTGAAATACCAGGATCGAAATCGTTGAACGTCATAAAATGTTTAACTTGCTCTCAGTGGACAAACGTCAATTGGTCTTAAATAAGTGGTTGAAATCGATCCTAACAAGCTTCCTACATACTAAAGAAATGGATAAAAAACAGTGGACTTCTGCAATAGGCTAGGCTACCCATGGGGTCAAAGAGTTTTAGAAAGCATTTTTTTATGGAGAATATGTGGATGAAATATCTCATTTTTAATAATAAATGAATGGAAACCTTAAAAATTAAAGAAAATGTGGAAGGTGAAGAAGAAAGAGATGTAGAAATAGAAATAGTTTCTAAAATGAAGGTGACTAAAAAGAAACAAGAGGGTCAATGAATCTAATCTATCTTCAATCACAGTCCTTCCAATAAAGAAAGAGCAATATGCTTTGCTAGTAAGACTTATCGGGAAGCACTTGAAGATCTAAACATGCCTGTGTTTTTTCACTTGAATTTTCTATTTCTGTACTGGGATTTCATACTATTAACCAAAAGTATACTAAGAGTAGTAAAGCAAGCTCTGAAATGGGGAGAGTATACAAAATAAACAAGCGTAGCAAACCCAAAATAAACCATATGGGTTGTTTCCAATCATGAGTTCCCCATAATATAAGCACTCTGGGGTGTGGTGGCCATTCCATCAATCTTTGGTTTGGCTTTTACTACAGTTTGTGGTTCTTCCCTTCAAAACAAACATAAATTTCGACTCCCTATCTTTCAACAGGAGATTCGATAGACAACCAGTTATCAGTCAACACCTTTTCTTCAACTAAACAAGTGGCCAGACGCTTTTGCTCAGAGTTATTACCCCTAAGAACAATCCTAACCTACTTATAAGATCAATAACAAATTGATTTTCTTCGGACAAGGGTATATTAATTTATGAATATTTTACTCTTCTGCTTTGAGAACCTCATTTCAATAAGAGTTATGGAAAAGGACACAAGATAATCACTGAAAATCATCAAACTGTTGAACAATCAAAGAATTGCCGAATGTAGCACTAAAGAATGCTACAACTTAAATATTACACATGGAAAAGCTAGATAATTGGTTTTGGAGCAATATACCTCAGCAATAGATGAAGCTATTGCAGCAGCGGCTTGAGTCTTGTGAGAAAGTTCACGCAGATAGCGTCCAAATTTTCTGACAGCAATGGATATTGCAGGAACAACAACCAAAGCCAACACTAAAATAGAATACGGATAAGAAAACATAATAACATGCTAAATAACAAGCTTATTTTAGTATTTGGTATTCTTAAGGATGAATAAGATACATGTTAACTTCCATGAAGTTGTAAACATGAACCCGAGACCAATAAATGCAGTAGAAAGATTCCTTAGAGCCTCTGAAAGATTGGTGGTTGCAGCATTTTTAATAATCTGCGTATCTTCAGATAGCCTACTCAAAAGTTCCCCTGTGCGAGTAACATCAAAAAAGGCTATTTCCTACAAAATTTATTAATAATTAAGTCCCTTGGATAATAAAAAGAAATATACTCTGGCAAAGTCAATTTCTTTACCTGGTGAATAAGATGACTGAATAGATTCTTTCTCAATCGAGCAACAACCCTCTCACTAGCAGAAGAAAACAACCATGCTCGAAGTGCTGTACAAATTGAACTGAAAAGAGCAAGAATTTATTAATTTTATGAGATGCCAAGATTAGCTGTACTTGAATAACTACCTAGAAATATAATCCAGGTTTTAGTGTGTATCAATAATCAGATGCCGATGTGTTACTCATTGAATGGTCGAATTATAGAGGCTTGAAGCCTTTAATTTTTAATCTACCCTGAAGCAGTAACTTAAATACTAAGCCCAGGTTTGGTATTAACATTGAACAGGACAGTATAATTAACAATCTTTTATCATTTTTTTTTTCTTTACTATAGTCCAGTAATATCCAATTATCCTCAACAAACATGCCATAAATTTCTATTGTTGTCTAGAATGGATGTTACATCTCAAATTTTTTAGTCAAAAGTCAATGGTTGAATTGTCAAGGTCAAGGTCAATATGGATTTAATTGGAATAATTTATTTTTCTTGGGACTTATTTTATATTCAAGATAATAACGGTTTAAGGTGGTTTAAATTAAAAGTTGAGGACTTACTTACATTATCTTGGAAA